AAAAAAAATGTGCCCAAGAAAATAAGAAAAAACAACAATTTAAACAAAAAAGAGAAATCTTGCCGAAAAACAACTGCATAAATTTTGTTTTTATACTACAGTCTCATTCGACACCTGTGGCATGAGAAACAATAAAACAGTATCAGTTAAAATATATACCCCTACCTCAAAATAGAAATGAAACGGCTGTATTGAAAACAGATGAAAATATTAGGCAAACCTTTCCAGACTTTTTTAGAAGACATTCCGAGATCAATTTCGCTTTGAACGTCATTAGGCGATCAAAAACCTTGTCCAAATCAGGTACGTTTGTGAATAAAATAACTGTCTGAAACTGCCAAATCGCGATAAGTTAAGCGAAAAACAACATTATAAAAATATAAAAGAAACTATCATGTCATTAATAACCTCAAGGAATGCAGTAAACAAATAATAATTAGTAATATTTTGACACAAGTCATAATCAGATAAAAATGATAATAAAACGTAACCTTATCTTTCAAACACAAAAATATTCCAGCCTGAACACCAGGTTCACCAGTTGTGGAGTGTTTTTCGACGTAATCTATATCTAACAATGGTACGACAACGTTAACTAACCGAGCAACCTATATTTTTATGAATTAAGTAATTTACGTGTTGAGAATTTACTGAAACACCAAAACTGTCTATCTATACTTAGATAAAGTTTCTAAGCCAAAGGTACAAAAAAAAAACCTTTGAAGCAAAGCAAACAAAATGAGGTGAGAGATACAGGCGACCAGGAACATATCGTTTATCATAAGGAGTGAACAATCGGCAAAGTGCATCACCATCTAATTTTTCCAAGTGCGGTAATGAAAATTTGCATCTTAAAAGTCATTCCATATTTCCTTCCATCATAAATTATATTCTTGATGCAGCGTTGTAAACCTCAATGACAGAAATAACACCTGTATAATTCACTTCTGTATCGCGCATCAAGATCACGCTTTATAAAGCAGGCACGAGATTTACTAGTTTTTTTCTTCCCACTTTCTGCAACAATCTTTTTCTTCAATGCTGTATCTTCGCAAAATCCCCGCTCTTCAACTAATCTGAAATGTAGGAATAAAAATGCATAGACAAGGTGGCTTTTCGTTGTTCAATGTCGATTAAAACTCCCTCTAGATCTCAATTAAAATAATGCATAATCATAGTCATATACTGTGTCATAGCGATATTAGCCAGTTGAGCGACCAGAGAGTAGGTCTCATCAAAATTTATAAACATTGAGAAGTTGTATGTCTGATTGCGTGTCACAACAGTCAGAGTTTGAGGAAATAATAACGGCATATCCTTCTCAATTTCCTAAATAAAATAGTTTAAATTTGGTAGATGCTTCTTATAGATTCAAATCCCCTAAAGAATTCAATCAAAATAATTCCTGAAATAGACTTATGGCTCAAATAGGTAACTGTTAAAACAATTCGATAAATATAATTTTAATTACTCTGTCAAAAATCAATTTTTCCTAAAAAGTATAGAAAAACCTTATTGGAAACTTACGAGTACATCAGCCCATTTGATGGAAAACTTAATTTGTTTTCCCATTATGAAGGAATAGAAACACAGGAAATTCACCGAAAGAAAAACTTGTCCACGACAAGGAACTTTACCGTTCCAATAACAACATGTATAATCTGAAAAGGCTAATACGGGAAAAAAGTTTGCTACACTGCAATACTAATCTAAAATAACATGTTAGAAAACAACAAAAATAGTAACCAGCTTTGTTGTTGATAACTACATGCCACTTACAATTAACAAGCTTCTCCTCTTGAGGTAAGCTAAACAGCCTATGAAACCGATGCAATATCGTCTCGTTAATGAAGCTTTCATCCTCTATAATAACTTATTAGAAAACGCACTTGTTTTACAATCTTCTCATCCGTTTAGTATAAGGGTTACTTCATTAAAAATGTTTCAATATCCCCCTTTCCATGCTTCTAATTAAACATTAAAAAACGAAAAAAAAAAAGTTGAAAACTTACGTGAAACAGTAGCACCTTCTTGAAGACTTACAAGGCTAGTCACTTTCGTAAGAACATATCGACGTACATCCAGTTCAGAGTCAAATGATTCTGAAAAAGTTAAGTAAATTAAGGAAACCTATTTCCCACGAGCAAGATAAAACTGGTCGAACATACCTAAAGTAGACATTAAATTTTTTTCGATCCATTTCCAATCATCAAGAATTTCATTTTGATGAATAGCGACAGCAATAACTGAAAAAAATTAGATAAGCAAATGAAAGAAAGTTTATTCGAAAGAAAGAGCATGATCAAAAAAAACATCAAATTACACCTACTAAATCAAACAAAGACACATTAAATCAATTAATATTCATAAATAACTGCACTGCTTTAAACCCGCCTGTTTCACCAATAAACAATACTGACCCTGCAATGATTCTAATCCTAAAGCTTAAAGCGTCAAACTTACAAGCTAAAACTCGTATTCACAAAAACTGGATTAAAAGATGATACCTATTGAAACTTGCTCTGGCAGACCATCGTATTGATAAAGAATCCGAAAAGGCGGCGGACATGTGTCAAAAACAGAATCAAGCGTTGCTACAAGAAAAGATCCAAAACCTTTTGTGCCATGTCCCTTTCGACGTTGTAACACAAACCACTTGTTAGTACGTTCATTAACCCTGAAGGTAACGAATTAAATCTGCTATGCAATAAAACTTAAGAACCTGTCTACTGAAATAGTCTACTAAATTATTTGCAAATTAGACGTCCAAATACCAATAAAAGTATGCTAAAATCGCAAATGAAGTAACACTAATGCAATTCATTTTGTTAAAACAAGAAAACTAATCTAAAAAATAAGAGTGCCAAAACGACCAAAGTAAAGCCGTTGTAATCATCGAAAGCAGACTAAAAAAGTGTAATTCAAACACAACTATAACTACATTTACCATTAGTTATAAACTCAGTTAAGTGACAAAGTTACACCAAACTTACCACAGTGTTCCAGAAAATACAAGAAAGTCTGGTTTAATCCATCCCATATTCAATAAGTTAGCTGACAAATAACTGGTGTTGCTCTTTTTCACCAAAATTTGTTGCTTATTTTTAGGCGTATATGGTGCAAGTCAGCATTTTCAGTTAATGTTTCTGTTTGCAGAATACGGGCAAAATACAAATAAGCAATAATGAAGACATATAGGCAGACGATTGTTATTTGTCAGAGCCACTTTTCGGTCACTTTTTTTCACTTCGCGCTATCTTTCCCTTCCTCGTCTGCCTTCTCAACTCTTGATCTAAAAATAAATTCTAATCACCTATCAAACTGAAATCAAACATAATCCACCTGCAGAACAAAAAACTATAAAAAATAACATCAAAAAATTCGGCTAGCAAATTACTTCGTCTTTGAACATGTTGTTGCTGTTGCTGCCGTTGTTGCTACTATCAACTTAACAACATTATCTATCACTCAAAGTTGACTATGAATATTTTCTTACAACATCGACATGTCAAAAAAGCCAACTTTTACAATATTAACTCATTAATTTATATCAATATTCAAAGGAAGGAAGAACCACAAAAAATCAACAAACAAAGAAATTGAAACAATATGAACCTGTTGCAGTTTTTTGACGCTAATAGTTAATTCTTTTTTATTGAAAATACATGAAAAAAGCTCTTCACCATGGTGGAATAACTAAAACAGATATATTACCCTGTCAAAACAAATATTGCACCTTCTAGAGCCATCATAACCTTTTCCCATAAGCCGTTAATTTCATGTCTATATCAGCTTCACTGTCACTTTATGACGAAAAAAATGTACAAAGACAGGAATATATATCTAGTAAGTTTTAACAAAACGCTAATCGATGAATATCAGAAAAAAAGAATGTAATAAAAAATTAAAAAAAACTCCAGTACTATTAGTTGTATTAAAGAAATCATTTTGGCCAAAAAACATTAGTAATTCGACAAACAGTTCAGCAACCAATCGGTTAACCACCAAATAAATGATTCAATGGCGATAATACGTTACAAAAGTTTGATCAACGAAATACTAGTCTGCTTACAGTTTTCATTTTGCAACCAATGATTTCGGTTATTCCGTTGAAAAAATTGATCAGTTGAAGTGTAAACTGTGGAATATTTTGATTTAACAGAAACAGAAACCGAAACAAGGAAAAAAAAATTGATTTTCTATCAAACAGTAATGATGCCAAAACTTTCAAAACAGCTAACTTTTTCTTTTCACCCCTAATCGCTTTGGTAAACGATTCAAAACTATTCATTTAAATATGTATTTAAACGTGCAAAACCTTCCACAGTCATTTTAAACTGTGTCTATTTTGCTACCAATACACGTTACAAAATAAAACTTAGTCTAAACCGCTTGGAAGTTATCCAAGTGACCTATCAAATAAATGGCCGCCGATATAACCGACCTGGTTAGATCGGCACATAAATAGCTAAGTTGACGAATAAATTGATCAATAAAAATATTGATTCAACTTGTTTAAACTTCACCAGATACATAGAAAGATAGACAGATTAGCAGATATTAAAAACTGATGCTACTTTGAAGAAACCCACCGTAAAAGTTACTGCACCTCTTGAGTTATCGATTTATTGCCGGAATTCTTAAAATAATAATCGTAAATGTATACACAAAAAAGCCTGAAAAATTTTTAGAAATACTAAGCGAAATATCTAGACGAAGTGTATTACTGAATAATGATTGTGCTTAATTCCAATATATTCGTTTAGCAACTGGAATTAATATGTGCCAAGATTAGCACTGGCAACACGTTGAACTAAAATAAGGCTCAGTGATCAAGTTAAAAAAATGACGAACGGAACTGCAATACTTCGTACAACGGCTTTACAAAAAAGAATTTTTTTTTTCGATGAATCACCACTAAAACAATGTTAATTTAATAGTAACTGTCCATGTAAATGAACCTAAACTGAATTTCAAACTGAATGAATAAAAAAAATCCTGCTAAATATGTTTAAAAAAAGTAAACTGAATTCCATGAATATAATTATCAAAAATGATCAAACATTTCAATGACCTTCAAATTTGCCACAACTTTTGAACTCATTTCTTTTTTGGCATTATCGACTCAAATTTTCGGTAAATAACTATCATTTTTACGTAGTTAAACTATGCTTGATAAAAAAAATTTTTACTACCCGGAATTATTCCATTATCTTATTATTGTCTTTAGATCGAGTGCCTGGACAATGAAAATTTGTGGTAACACAAATAGCACAACATTGATAACAGCGGTCGGACGTGAATTTATGGGTCATTCTTACGTTCTTTTTTCAGTTGAACCTCACACTAATAGGTGTGCTATCCTGGAACTATCTATGTACCTTCATCAGCAAAAAAAGAAAGCCATCTACTCCGCAACAACACGTCAAATGTATCAATTTTGAAACGTACTCGACGTAAATATATAGATTAGAAATCAAATCACTGGGTAAACTGCTGAATAAACAAATGAAGCAATAAAACTTTTTAATACTGGAAAGTAAAAAGACAAATCACATTCAACATATTTTGTTAGCATAATTCTAATAGAACGGAACATCTGAGTTCACCAAAATTCTACTTTTTTTGACAATTTGAAATTTGTAGAAAACAACGTACCACTGTAGCACTACTCTTAACAAGGGTGCAAAAATCCAAAACCCAAATCGAATTTTTAGCACTTATCTTCATTGCAAATTTCTCTTTACCATAGATACCTGCAATGTAAAAAGAGGGGAATGCCCAGCACCAAAAAAAACTAATTTGATGAAATAATCCAACCAGTTTCCTACTTCCTAAATTACTCAGCTACCGTCGTCACCAACGACTGCAATTACAATTATCAATTAAACCAACACCAAAATACACCATTGAAAAACAAGTTAACTCAAAACTTGGTATTTACTTCACTCCCTCGTATGCCCACTTGAAGCCCACATATAAAGACCCCAGCCAAAAAAACCACTGATTCTTAAAATTTTCAACGTATCAGAACACTACTTTAAAAGGCTAATGTTAATTTGTCGGTCACTATATTGAATACCTGCTATAGCATAACAGCTGTCACTCCGTACCTGTCACGTGAGTAGAACATAACTGATAAAATTCTTAGTCTGCAAAATAAAAATACACATTTTCATAACTCGTTCCCTTTCACAACTTCAACAGATCATAATCGCTCTTAATAGTCTAGCATTCAACCTAAACGGTACTATCTACCATACTCAAAAAATACTCCCAAATACCAGACATAGCCGATATCAATAACAAAGCAATTGCACAGTTACATCACGACCAACCAAAAACATTTGATTACGTGGAACCCGATGGTACAAGAGCGAAAACTCCAACAAATCCTACTCAATCAACTAAGAAACCGACCCATCATCAGAACTGCACTCTAAAGTCAAATAACCAACATCTGAATGCGACTGGGAATGGGAAACAGAAAA